AGTAACCCTAGACCTAATGAAAGTTTTAAAAGCATATGTTTACTGACCAGAGCATAGGGAGACTCTTACTGACAGCAACACCCAACTTAAGGACCAAAAGAAAACCAGCTCTTGCCTGTTTTAGAATAATAACCACAATCCTCCTCTCTCTGACGTTGACAGTCAGATGGATACCTGTGTGCAAACATGCACAAACATCAGTACAAAACAGTACTGCTGTAGAACACTATAACCTCTTTCTAACATCTAATTTAACTCTAGGTGTGCTGTCTGTGGTGTTTTTCTGTCCAACTCATCTTCGCCGACTGATGGGATTTCTGTCAAAAACCATGCAGAAAAATTAAAAGTAGTTTAATCTGTGTGAAACAGAAAATGAAAAATTGACACAGGCTGAATGTTAGCTTGTATAACTACAATAATTATTTGTTATGTCATTTTTTAGCATGGCTTGGAAAATTTGTATCATTTATAAAAATGAACGAAGCAGCCTCATGTGTGTATTTGTGCATTTAGAGATTGAGAATACCTCATCATGCTGCTCAGAATAGAGGGATGGTTCATGGTGCTGGTGTTAACACAAGTGGGCTCATCAGGAATGTTTATTTTGGGATGCTCTTTAGAACGATTAACAGCTCAGTAAATATAGTTCTGTTTATGTAATACTGATTTAAATATGTAAATCTTTGATGTGTAGCAGCTTATATATAATTGAATATATCCAAGATTGTAAGTATCTTTAATAATAAATTCCTGTGGAGTTCTTTTCAAAATATTTGATCCTTTCCATGAACACAAAGTTCTTTTCCATCCTCAAAACCCTCACAAAAATTACAGGGGAAGAGAGAATAAACCATGCCTTGAGTAATTGGACACGTGGGCCTGATGATGATTTCATACTTTGTTTTACTCTCTTTGTCTATTATTCTCTCTCCATTGGTTGCCTAGAAACCTGCTGTAGGATGCACAAAAGTGGCAGGAATGGGTCAGGCAAACCTTTTAAGAAGTTAGTCATCTGCTATGTGGAGGTGTTGGCTGGATTGCAGTTAGTTGGACAGAATGGTGAAGGTGTTTTGATGCAATCCACTTTGCTCTGGTTCCGTCATCCTCTTCATAGCAGATAAAACAAGAAATGTGCAGGATTTACTAAACCATTCTTGATTCCAATTATTTCAAAAGGCAGGGTCCAAAAAACTTAACATGCTCTAAATGAACCAGCTTACCATAAGTCCTACATGATGAAATAGTCCGAACTTCTCCAGTTCTGTGAACAACAACATTACCTTGTTTTAGAGAAAAACATATTTTTGCTAAAACTTGCAGCGCAATCAGCGTGTTTATTTCTGACACCAACTTCTAAGCTTCCTACTCACGACCCATGTTTTAGAATTAAAGAAGCCTCTTGGATGAGAGGCCAAACATCGTCATTGTCGTTGTCTTCCTCCGCTTATCCGGGTCTGGGTCGCAGGGGCAGCATCACAACTAGGGAGCTCCAGACCGTCCTCTCCCCAGTCACCTCCACCAGTTCCTCCGGCAGGACCCCAAGGTGTTCCCGGACCAAATTGGAGATGTAACCTCTCCAACGTGTCCTGGGTCGACCCGGGGGCCTCCTGCCGGCGGGACATGCCCGAAACACCTCCCCAGGGAGGCGTCCAGGAGGCTTCCTGACCAGATGCCCAAACCACCTCAACTGACTCCTTTCGATCCAGAGGGGCAGCGGTTCTACTCCGAGTCCTTCCCGAATGTCCGAGCCCCTATCTCTAAGGCTGAGCCTGGCCACCCTACGGAAGAAACTCATTTCGGCCGCTTTTATTCGCGATTTTGTTCTTTCGGTCATTACCCAAAGCTCATGACCATAGGTGAGGATTGGGACGTAGATCGACCGGTAAATCGAAAGCCTGGCTTTCTGGCTCAGCTCCCTCGTCACCACGACAGATCGGCTCAGCGTCTGCATCACTGCAGACGCTGAACCATTCCGCCTGTCGATCTCCGGATCCCTCCTATCCTCACTCGTGAACAAGACCCTGAGATACTTAAACTCCTCCACTTGAGGTAGGACCTCTCTCCCGACCCGGAGCTGGCAAACCACCCTTTCTCGGTCGAGAACCATGGTCTCAGATTTGGAGGTGCTGATCCTCATCCCAGCTGCTTCACACTCGGCCGTGAACCTACCCAGCAAGAGCTGAAGGTCAGAGCTGGATGAAGCTAGGAGGACCACGTCATCCGCAAAAAGCAGAGACGAGATTCTCCTGCCACCAAACTCGACACACACCACACCACGACTGCGCCTAGAAATTCTGTCCATAATTGTTAGGAACAGAACCGGTGGCAAAGGGCAGCCCTGGCGGAGTCCAACCCTCACCGGGAACAGGTCCGACTTACTACCGGCTATGCGGACCAAACTCAAGCTCCTATGGTAAAGGGACTGAATGGCCCTTAACAAAAGGCCAGGAAGACCCCATACTCCTGGAGCGGCCAAACATCTTAAAGATAATCAGAAAAGTCCTGTTGTTTACAATTAAAACTCTCAGGATTATGTCCAGGATGACTAAGAATCTACATCAGTGGCCCTCAACTAAATTTTTCAAGGGCAGAAGTTTTTTTTCCCAGCAGACACTGTGAAAGCCAGATGCTCTTCTAAAATAAACTTAAAGTGCTATTGTATCTTAATTTAGTAATATTTAAAATGGCTTTGTTTTCCATCTAAATAATTTTGATTGAAGTTTTAGTCGTGTTACATGAATTTTGCTGCTAAATTTCAAAGTCCCCCAATTGGGGGCATTAGGGCCCAAAAGTTTGAGGGGCTGGGTCTTGCAGGCTGGATGTGGCTTGTGGACTGCCAGTCGAGGTTCACTGATCTACACTGTTGTGTTGCAGCACAAAGTTGCAACGATTCAGTCAACAGGAAAACTTTCACATTAGCATCGGCTCCACTCTGCCTGGACCGGGTTTGAAGTGTTCTCATTTAGGTAGCCTTGGATTTTCCCGCACGCAACCGGATGGCTTTTCCCGAGGCCTTCTGCCTGGAGCCAAACAGGGCAGACACACCCACTGCCGGCTGATTGGCCAGCTCAAAATTACGCGTACCATTAGAGGGAGCCTCCGATTGGCAGATAGAATCAGCCCGTGGGTGCTTCCCGCATGTGTGATTCATTGTCATTAAAGCTTGGTTTATGCTTGACGCATTCACTTTCCGTGCGGTGATGCGGCTCGCGGATGGAACACGCTTCACAACTCGCAGCGTTTATGGTTCGTGCGGCTCGTCTCTGTGGTGAGCCAATATTCTCCCAAACTGAACGGGGCAGCATGGAGCTCTACAGCATGCATCCAACACTACATCATAGTAGAAGTAGAAATTACTGTTTACAACATGGCATTCCAGCATTTTTAACAGCGTCCTCATCTTTTCCGACTGTGCGAGCTATTTCTCTCCAAGAATTATTAACATGTTGATCATGGTGATCTCTGAGTGCTGAATCATACAAATGTCTGTGTTTACGAACCTCTGCCATACTAGTTCTTGCCGGTCTGCCATGTTTTTCCGCGTCCGTCCGTCCGCGTGGTTAGAAATTTTCCGAGGTGCGCGTTGCGGAAATTTTAAGCCGTGCGGAGACGCGGTGGAGGGGCGTGGTTGTTAAAATCACTCAAAATGACGCAACTTTTCCACGCGGAGCCGTGCGGACCTGGCGGACGCGTCAAGCATAAACCAACCTTTACGGGCCTCTGACTGAAGCCATTTTACTCTGTCTCTCACTGCTGTGGGGAGCACGCACACACACAGTGCTGCCAGACACAGCAGAGCAGGATGCAAAATCAGAGTCAGTGAGTCTTTAAAAGCAAGACTACTCCGACCGCTTTTGTTTAATAATGGAGACACGGCAGACTTCTCCGCGCCCTTTCGCCCCGCCCACATGCTAGGAGATGTGCTCATGACATAATGCTAAATTACTTCCTGCATTCCTAAGGCAGAGTGGAAAGAACGCGGCCAGGCTGGGGCGGGCGGAGTGGAGTGTAGCCGATGCTAAGTGGCATAAGTGTAGCTGCTATCAGTAGCAATAAAACATCAAAAGCTCTTAACAGAATAAATAGTGCAGAAAAGCAAAAAAATAACCTCACAACTTTGCGTGTTGTGAGATGTATGATTATTAGATTAATTTACTTATATTACCCGTAGAGGTTCTGAGTGGGCGGAACCCAGTGTCATCCACCACAGAGAAAGGCTGCTCATCTAGCACCATGACTTCAATTATTTTACAGGTTATTTGCTCAGCCTTCTGATCAGAATTTGCATATCATGTTTTGTTCCCATGGAGATCGTCCAATTATGATCGGCGACTGAAGCCATGCTTTACAGGACTACCACAGTCCGCACATTTTCCGCGATTGAACGGTAATGCAAACATTTCCAGCGCATTCTTTTTTGTTGCTATTCATCGGCATCTTCTTCTGGTCAGCAGACTGGGAATCAAAACTATGAATAAAAAAAAAATGGAACATTCCGGGAAACACTGACAACTAGTCCTGGTTACAATCGATTCTCAATGCCCTACCCTACTTCCATTTTGCCTTACAGCTTGTAAATATTACAGCATATCTTTATTTTTCATGTTTTTTTTTGCACTCATCAATTGGTCTTTTTCACCTCATATAATAAGTAGGAAGTTTAGCTACAAACAACAGCATTGGAATGTAATCATGTAAGAGAAGTTAAAATCATAAAATGGAAACTGCTGTCTACTGTGACTTCTCATAACTTAACCCCCCTCAGAACTTGAGCAAACAACTACAGGAAAAGACCCTGGGAAAGCAGGAAAGTAGTTTTTTTTTTACAGATGATGTAACTGCAAAGCACTTTTGTATTGCATAAGTTGCTTTATAGTTCTACTGCCAGACCTGAATGTGCTTTGACCTTGTTTGCCTTTTTAATGACATCATTTTGTGTAGCAGAAGGCCGGCATTCATTTCTGTCTTTAATAACACTTTGCTTTATTCTCTCTCTGCAGGTATGGCCTCACAAGTCTTGGTCTACCCACCACACATTTATCAAACCCAGACAAGTGCCTTTAGCAGTGTGAAGAAACTCAAAGTCGAGCCCAGCAGCTGTGTGTACCATGAGAGGGCACACCCGCGGACTTATCTGAACAGCAGAACCCTTGGCATTGTTCACCCAACTAAACAAGCCTGCTCGTTTGTGAATCGAGACTTGGCAGTGGGCCTGAAAGTACGTGGAGGACAGCAGTACCCAGTGCAGACAGTGGTGGTTCGTGGTGTGCAAAGACAACACCCCGGTAAAAGAGGCGGGGGAGCAGGCCCACTTGTGGCCCAGGGGCAACCGGAGGCAGGGGCTGTCCACTCGCAGGGCAAGGAGCAGCAGCATCAGACAGTTGAAGAAAGTGGGAGCAGCAGTGGATCAACAGGAGCAGGAGGAGGGGGAAGGGGAGAGGGCTGCAGTGGAGGAGTTGAAGGAGGAGGAGGAGGGGAGGAGGGTGACAGAGAGGAGAACTGTGAAGGTTTGAACTCCGCTGACAGCTCTCAGAGATGTGGGCTGAAACGTAAAAGTGAGGAGCTGGATAACCGAGGGAGCACCATGCAGATTGTGGAGGAACTGTCAATGTTGCCCGCCATGTTGCAAACGACGAATGTGGGGAATGCAGCCGTAACAGCACCGGCGGCTGTTGGGGCTGGAGGAGGCCCCTCCAAACAGGGTGTAGGACACGGAGGTGTAGGTGTTACAGGAGGTACAGGAGGAGGGGATGGGGACTATCAGGTAGTACAGCATGAAGTCCTGTGTTCCATGAAGAATACTTATGAAGTTCTGGATTTTCTGGGGCGTGGCACATTCGGTCAGGTAGTCAAGTGCTGGAAGAGGGGAACAGGTGAGGTAGTGGCCGTGAAGATCCTGAAGAACCATCCTTCATATGCCCGGCAGGGGCAAATAGAGGTTGGGATCCTCGCTCGTCTGAGCGGAGAGAACGCAGATGAGCACAACTTGGTGCGAGCCTTTGAATGCTTCCAGCACCGCAGCCACACTTGCCTAGTATTTGAGATGCTTGAGCAGAACCTGTATGATTTCCTGAAACAGAGTAAGTTCAGCCCGCTCCCTCTAAAAGTGATCAGACCTATACTACAGCAAGTAGCCACAGCTCTGAAGAAGTTGAAGAGCATGGGTCTAATACACGCAGACCTGAAGCCGGAGAACATAATGCTGGTGGACCCAGTGAGGCAGCCCTACAGGGTGAAGGTGATTGACTTTGGCTCAGCCAGTCACGTATCCAAAGCAGTGTGTTCAACGTACCTCCAGTCTCGGTACTATAGGTGAGTAAAAGAGAGGGTTACGTTTTTTAGTTTAGACAGTTTCAGACTTGTGACTGTTACAATTAGGTTCAATGGGACTTCCTGTTAAAAAACACTGAACTTTCATACATATCATCCTGACAAATTTTAGATAAACAAAATCCAACTTTGCAACCTGATTAATCATGCCTTCAGAGCTTGTGAAAAAGATTTAAAACAAGTGCATATTTCCTTTTTTGCTTCGACGATGTGTGTCATTAGTAGGGAGTTGCAACAACTACAGGTGCTGACATATTTTGACAGAATTGTCCCCAAAAAGTAGACAAAAGCATGGATAAGCTGATTATTTTTTTAAACTGATGCTTTTAGAGAGTGGACACAGTTGTATCTGACACAAAAGCCCTGATACAGGACCTGGGCTTTGACATGGCAGTAAAAACATATATTTTTTGTCTTTTAAAGAAAGTTTAAATGTTCTTGGATGTGGAAAATCTGGCTTTGGTAATTTAACTGATAAAAACAGCTGTTGTGATGGAGATAAAATAAAAATAAAATGTCTAATTTCCAGGAACAAGGTGATGTTTGAAGCGAGTCAGCGGCACACACACTAATATAATGCGATAGCTAACCGTGTCAGTCTGTTCCTATTTTACCAGTGTTATCTTTTATGTTACAGTAAACGCTGTGAAGTCAGCTCAGCTCTAAAGCAGAAGTATCAGATTTTATCCTATAAAACAGACGGGTGCTTTAGATTGTGGGAAAGGTTGACGGGCATACATTGCAACACATTTTAATAACTCAGATTGTCAACACACTACAGCTGTGAATCAGCATACTTAACATGGTATTCATACTTGCAATGGAAATCAGTGCAAAAACCATTTGCATTAGCTTAATTTGCATTAGCTGCAGATCTTCCCGTTCATTTATAGAGTAGACTGAGCTTTATTTGAACTCTCTTTTTGTGTCAAAAGTGGAAAATACTTGTCATTCACAGTTTATTATCTTATTCTCTTTTAATCTCAAGCTTTCTTCAGAAGTCTTTTAGCATTGCTGTAAATGCATTTATTTCAGGAAGTCGCTCAAAATAGAACCATCATATCTTTATGTGGGGGGAGGAAGTGAACACAGCAGCTGCCACAGTTTGTCGACTCTCAGCCTCAACTACCGGTGACCAGCAGTTTCTCACAAGTCTTGCATGGCGTCCAAGTGAAGTGCACCACAGGTTTTACTGCATGTCTCAGCTCTAAGTTGGGTTGGGGTGGAAGATAATGGTTCCACATGAACATGTAAATTTTAAAATTTAGTCTCTTAAATTTATGAAAAATAATATACCAAAATAGACATTTATTTCTCAAGGAAAATTCAGTCACATTTAATAATCTTTATGTTGTAATGTGGTGGTCTAGATAGAGTTGTGTTGCCGAGGCTGGAAGTGAAGGGTCGACGAAAATAGCTGATGGGACGCTGGCCAGTGTGGCTCAACTTCTATAGATGGTGAACCACATGGGTAGCCAAAATATAAAAAAGGATCACTCAAAAGACTCGAGAGCTCAGACTTACTCTCTCAAGCTCAACTGGCTCAGCAGTGTCATCTGTTTTGGTCTTATTTAAAAAAAAAAACCCTAGCTAAACATTTGTTGAGATTGAATTTGCCAAAGCGTTTTTCTTTCAAAAAGTAAAGTTTAGAATTTTGGCTGAGCTACAAAAATAATCAGTTTGCAAGTATTAAATGGTACATATGTACTGATAGTATTTTTTATTGTAATTTAGTTTAAGCCATCAAAATGCACAAGTAAATAAAAAATATTAGATTTGCAGGGTGAATACAGGCAGATGTAAAAACTGATTTGATTTATGTGACCCATTTACGTTTTTCCCTACTGTAATAACGACAAAACGTTTGCACAAATGGGAGTGGGTTAACTTTTCTTTGAAAAGTAGGCCTGCGAGCAAGTAATCCCCCAGACAGAATAACTATTTAGCATTTTGTTTTGAGGGAACTTGTAGGTAAACAAACATCCTCTTTATGAGTTGTGTACATTTAAGAAAGACTGAGTTCTTGTTTTTCTTTTAAATTAATTGGTTACTCAGTGAAGTTGCATGGCACTTTTGAAATTTCACCTTGAAACTCTTATCAGCAAGCATTATAAATTACAAACATGTTTTTTATTACTTGTCATTTGTGAGATGTAGACATTAATGTCGTGCCTTTCCACTCAAATTAATGTCCTCATTAATTACTAAGTAATATTGATCAGTGTAAAATTATTCCTTTAAACATTGCTTTATGTCTGAAAATGTATTTGTAGACACTACAGCATTGTTTTCAAACGTATGCTGTAAATGTAGACAACCAGATGAATAGTTTATGTGGTCATAACAAGCATCGAAGCAGGTGTCTTTTGTTAACCATCAACACAAAGTCGATTTTCAACCAAAACTGGAAAACAAACCGTTCAAAGCACCGACTCCATGTCAGCACACTGAGACGCTTACACATGTAAAAGGTGTCTCAGGTTTTGTAGCCTTAATTGAAGGTCTGGACAGATCAGAGTGCACGTGTTTCATTGTCTGTTTGCCAAGCGGCCTTTGTTTTCCACTTAATAATTCAGGATGGCCAGAAAGTGTGTGGAATTACAGTTCCTGGAAGAACCATGAAGCAAGGCTCCACTTTCTGATTATGAAGCCGCCATGTTCTCAGTCTCTCTTTGTGACTGAGCTTAGGTCGACACAAGTTTCTCCGAATCTAAATTTAATTTAAAACAGTGTAGGCATGCATGGACAATGCCCAGCTATTGATATGTTTGCCTCTCTTGTTTGCTCTTCTGTGCACACTCCCTCGCTTTGAGGACAGCACAGGGTGGATCACAGGTCTATTTCTGGACTTTGAGATAATGTCCATGAATAAAAAATAAGAAGATAACTTATCTTGTCCACCATGGCAGTTATAGCAAATAAAGATTCATGGAAGTACAAATATTCACAAAGAATAAATCGCTAATTTAGTCAACCAGAAGAGGGTTGTGTTCTTACACACATTCACTGGCTGAGATTTTGAGTGCATGGGAATACCTAGCATTGCTTTTATTTTTGACATATCTAGTTCATGAGAGCTCATTTCTGCTGCCCCAAAGCAACTGGGGACATGCTGGAAGTCAACAGTGTCCAATTTATTAAACATGAAGTCAGAAAATGCAGCCAGGGGCAGATAAACATGGGTTTTGTGATAAAAGAACAAACTTGTTTACAATATTTGACTTGTTCTTCTAACCTTTAAGGACTACAGCTTTATGCATACATTAGGCTGGGATCCCTCTGGGATTAATAAAGTATTGATTGATTGATATCATCATGCCTGTGTTGGTTAAACAAACACAGAAACAAGAGAAAATAGCAAAACAGAGGTATGACGGGAAGAAGCTGAGCAAAGGAAAAAGCAACATGTGGCAATAAAAGCAGGATGTACCTTTAATTGTTACAGCTAGTTTAGGTTTATTTTCAAATTAAACCTCACTGTTTCTGTTTCTGTGTGTGCATACCTGCAGTGTCTTTGCTGTTAAAGCTGTGCTCACTAACCATTGTGGATTAGGGGTTTTAGGTCCTGAAGCTGGAGTTATTGTGAGACAATGACTTGTTTTCACAGCTAGCCTCTGCTTTATTAACGTCTGTTTTGTTTAATGCAGCTAAAGACAGATTAAAGTACTAGAAGTGAGCACTAAACTGGAATATCATTTGATATGGAAGAACTGAGACTACAATCAAGAGATGCAAAAAGTTCCCCTTTTTTTCTCTTTTCATTGACTGAAAACATTTCACACAAAGCACATGATGTTATACACAAACCTTTTGAGGTTATGAGGAGAAAGTGATATTGCGTAGAACAAACATCTCATTCTCAGTCATTAATTTTTTACAGTCAGCCGACTTGATAAGCATCTTTTTGTCTTGTGACGTGGTGAAAACGCATTTGCTTTCACTCTAAAGTATCAGTCCGGCTGTAATAAATAGACAGTAAAAGTGCAGTGATGTTGCTTTCATCTGAATGTGCTCTGAGTGGTCATAAAACCTGAATTGGTTTTGACTGAATAACTGCCTACTGAAGTGCACCTTTGAGGCATCAAGTCGTTACACATTAAAACACGAACTTTTGTTAAACTTGACTGACAAAAGTCTTCTTTCGTCATCTACTCGGTCCTGTTTTATCACATAAGCCTGTTACGCATGCACTCGACAAAGACAGGAAACAAGTCCATCATGTGGCTTTTTGTCGTATTTGCCTGCCTGCTCGGTTGTTCCTGCACGTGGTGCTGAAGTCACGAGGCTGCTGCTTCACTGGTATTCTCTGGCTCCAGAGCTCGCATGTCACATCCTCGGGATGGAAAACGGGTTTGGTTTCACTGAACAGTAGTGAGGCTTTACTTGGGTTGATTAAGATGGAGCTGTGCAACCATGGCAACACTACTGTCTCTTCAGACAGTATGAGAGAGACCTGCTGTTTTCTGTTTTGTTCTTTCTATTCAATGTTTTTAAATTGTCCGTCTGGCATCAATACTGTTCTTTCAGTTGGGAAAAACAAGATACAAACAAGACTAAACAAGACTAGGAAAAAAGTCATGAACTTTCAATCTAGAAATGCCTTAAAGTGTAAAATAATGATTTTAAGACACTGGCTCCATCATGTCTCTCCCTCCAGCAGGATCCCATTCAAAAATACTCAGTGGTTCTCATGAGATACTAAATCAATACAAATTTTCCACAAGTCATTATGATGTCTTGAGCCACATTAACTCCTTCTGATCGAAAGTCTGGCCTTCAAAGTGGCACTTTTACAAACCAGTAATTATACTTAATGTACATTTTGACTATTTGTTTTATTAAAGCTGCTTTAGTGAATTTACAGAACAAGCTAGGGTTTGAACGCAAACATGGTCACGGAACATTCACCCCTCCCCTCGGGTGTCTTCCCTCAGATGCTTTTGCCGGAACCGGAGCCCGTATTTCATTTCCATTTATTTTTCTCCTAATTTGCCATCGTAGCTTTAGATACAAAATAAATTGGTGCAAAGTAGAAAAGATTTTCCTTACTTGGAACTATTATTTTAAACAACATGTAAGTGTGCTAAACTGACTGATGTAAACAAATCCAAATTAGTGATGGAAAGTTTCTAGTAATCCAACAAAGTCCTGTTTGGAAATTAAACAACACTTGTTGAGTGTCACATTGTCAAGGTCCACCTACACACACACACACACACACACACACACACACACACACACACACACACACACACACACACACACACACACACACACACACACACACACACACACACACACACACACACACATGCCACGTATCTCTGTCACAGAGATAACTAAGAAATGTACAAAATGATTGTGCTATTCTCTTTTATAGAGACCCGGATTTCAAAACTGGCAAAATATATAAAATAGAAATTAGAATTGTTCAATTGACTCACCTAGGTGTTAGTTTTTTGTTTTATTTATGGAGTAAAGACCTCAATACACTCTGCATTCATCACATCATGGGTTTCTGAGCTTTCAGTGATATGTTTTGTGTGCACAGACGCACAGCACCAATACTGAAGAAAGGTTGTTGTTTAACCAGCCAAGTTAGTGCCAAGTCTGAACAGGGCCTAAGACTCTGGGTAGACAAGTGAATTTACTCCATATACTTGTAAAGGTTTGCCCTGCTCCACTTGGAGGTCATTCCTGGACAGAGGCTTTTAGCAACATAAGACCTCTGAATTCTTCACGCTTTCTGAGCTCTTGGCATTTCTGAAGGCCTTGTGATGTTCTAAACAAACTTCCTCACAACCATCAATCTTGCGCCTCCATTAGCCATTCCTGCTATGATACAGTACAAGAGTGTATGTTATGAAGTAACACTGAGCCAGGAAGTAAATGAACTAGTAGCTGTGCTTTCTTTCTGTCAAATTAGAGCGGAAAGAACAGCCTGTCAAAGCTGTGATCCCAGCCTGACTGACCTGGTAACCCACTGGCACAGCATGCTCACACTTGGCACTGTACAGCACAAACAACACTGGCCTACGAGTCATTTGGCTCCATTGTGCAATCCTATCTAATTAGCTGTCTTCAGTAATTCCTCAACACTGGCGTTTAATTGATCAAGACATCAACACTGTTTTTCTGAGTAAAAAAACAAAAACAAGAATTAGCAGTGAAAATATTCTGGGGGAAACAAATGGTGTGTAGATTTCATATTTGTGGATTAAAAACTCCTTTTTTTTCTTACAGAACATTTTTTTGTGTAGGTTTTTTGCTCTGTGATTTAATATTTGGAGATTGGCTTTTTTAAGGGATGACAAAGTCTGTTTTTCTGAAGTACATGTTGAGTTGGTCTAATGATAAAATGTCATAGTTGTATTTTCTGTAAATAAACAGTTTATGCTGTATTTTTTACCCGTTCCACAGGGCTCCAGAGATTATTTTGGGACTACAGTTTTGTGAAGCCATAGACATGTGGTCCCTAGGCTGCGTGATGGCAGAACTTTTTCTGGGCTGGCCTCTTTACCCTGGGGCCCTGGAGTACGACCAGGTAACCCCCCACACCCATCTCTGCATTTTACAGGATTTAAGTGTTTTCTCATCCCAGCACAAAGCTCCTTTCATTCTTGTCTCACAGGTTTTAATGTGACTCAACATCTACTTTTCTATTCATTTTCCGTGACTCAGTTTCAATGTGGAAACTGTTTTTTTCAGGGCCTTAATGGGTTTTAAGTGGACTTTCCCTTCTTTGAAGTTATCTCCCGATTCTTATTCTCCCTTTTCCATCCCACACATCTTTATACAGTCTTTATTTCTCATGTCTTTCCTTTTCTTCTTCACTTTTCATTCCCCTTTATACTGTCTAATTTTGGCGATGCCACAATAAAAGTTGGTTTGTTTTTGTTTATGTGCTGCCTTTAGTTAACCCACTCTTGAAATTTCTGTAATAAACAAATCACTGCTATGTTTTCTAAACAGAATATTTCAAAGTGAAATGCTGATAGAAAGAAAGAAATATTTTGTGCATAATTACACACTAAAACAAAGTTTATAAAATAGATAATTTAAGCAATGAAGAGTTCAACTGAATTACAGTAATACAAATTTAGCCGAGTGTGAACTGGTTCTTCTGTGACGTACCCGCCCTGAGGATTGTGTCAGCTGGTGTGCCTTACAGTAAGCAGAAGTGCATATTCTAGTGATTGATGGCGTGTCTATTAAAAGCTGTTGGATGCCCCCCTCACCCTCACCTTCCAGCAAAGTCCTGATTGCATCTTCCTCAGACTCGACTGATCTGGGCTTCTGCTGAGCGTCTTTCCCCATCGGAGGGTTCCGTACACTCGAAGGCTGCCAATAGAATCTCAGTCCGATCCTCTTCTGTCGCTTGCAGCATCCTACACCACAGCATTCAGCACCTCTGCTCACTGCACTCAAAGCACTGTATTTTTATGCCCCGGCATCATTTTTCACCCCTGCACATAACTGAGACACAAGAGATAACTCAACATCTCCGAAGGAGATGTGACTTGAGCGCCGTGGCAGCGGTCTAAAGATGATTAATCTGCTTTTGTAGAAGAAGGTCGGCACATTGCAAAGCTGCTTCAGAAATGTCCTGGGTGGTTTGAATCATCTCAGCGTTTTAGAGGGTTGCTTAGCTTTGATAAGAGGAGGATGGACCCCACCATCTGAAAATGTTTGGAGGTTTGCTGTGGACTAACTTTACACATGGAAACTTTGTTTGACTGCCTCCTTAGTGCTCTTAAAGTTCCTGCCCATGAGAAGTGGACAGATACTTTCCTCCTCTCTTTTATAGCGTCATTCTTGTGTTGATCCCTCTTGTAGCACATGGGTGGTCAGATGCTACAAGAACATACAAATTAAGAACTATCAACTGTCAAAGAGCAATTAGTTATTTGATAAAATGTCAATATGCATACACAGACCTTCTCAGTGGCCTAGTGGTAGAGTGTCTGCCCTGGGTCTGGGAGATTGGGGTTCAAATCCCGGTTGGGTGATACCAAAGACCTGAACAATGGGACCCAATGCCTCCCTGCTTGACACTCAGCTTTAAGGGGTTAGATTTGGGGGTTAAACCGCCGAATAGTTCAGCTGCAGCTCACCGCTCCCTATGGGGATGGGTCAAATGTGGAGATGAATTTCACCAGTGTGTGATGACTTAACAGGATTTTAACTGTAACTTTCCCATAGCTCAAAGATATCTTATGCTTTTGAAAGGAAAAGGTGTAGAGTACAAATAAATTAGATATTTCTTTTTGTTGTTTGAAGGGTAATGGTGATTTAGGAGTTATTTAATTAGCTGAGCAGCTGACTCCTAGTGTGAGGTGTCATCCAGGGTTCATCAGTTGATTCAGCTAGAACGTGGATCTGCTTCCCCCTTTCTTCATGGGATCTTGTTCCATCCACCCAGCATACTGTATTTATAACTCGGGCTCCTCCCTCCACCCAGTGCCTTACCTCATCTCTGAGTCTGTTCATCTTTCACTTTGCAAAGCGTGCATTGCTCTTTTATGCTTTGATGTGACAAACCTTGTGATTCAGTCAGCATCTGATTATTACTGACTGACGTTAGCCAGGAAAAGTGAGATCTGTGGTTTTTGTCATGTTTTGTGTTTGAGAAACAAAGCAGAACAGTCATGGCCGGTTGCTGCTTGTCCGCACTTATCTTTTTTTTAACCTTTGGGACTTTACCTAGCTTGTGTCATGAATCAGTAAAAATGAGACGATGTAGGTGGATTAGTGATAGGAAACAGACTTGGCTTAGCACGGTTTAGAAGTGTAAAAGCTGTTGGAAATAAATAGCTCTCTTTAGAATATATTAGTGTTAAACATGAGTTGTGTGTAAGCATGGCTGTCTTACCAAACCTGAGCTCTACATTTATTTATCATTCTGAGGAAGACTTTGTTTGTCAGTGTGTTCAGTTATCAGGAGAACCATAAACTTAAGACTGCCCTTCAGCTGCCTAAACCTCACTAGATAGTTGTTGTTAGGCGGCCACTTTCGTGTGATCTCACTCGGTTGTGATGTCTCTGAACTGGCCTTTGAGGAAAAAGGGGTTTTCCTGTCAGAATAATTTTCTACTCGCACACATCTGTTGTTTTTTCAGTCTCGTTGCTGTTTGCATGAAGTTGCACGGCTACGATGGGATGCAAACAGGAAGGGAGGGGGCTTTAAGAGTAATGTATGTTGAAATAGAGTTTTTGTTATCCCTATTTTGTTAAGAAAGAATAGATTTAAAATGAAAAATGAGATAATGAAGAGATATTGGTGCACAATTATACAGATAGAGAAATATTTGTTGTTGTTGAAAGGTTGGAGATTTCCGCTGTCCCATCAGCATCTCCTCACATGTGAGATGTCAGGATTTTTTTTTTGCCATTGCAGTGCAACTGAGACACACACACACACACACACACACACACACACACACACACACACACACACACACACACACACACACACACACACACACACACACACAAAACACATATACACATAAAAATGGACTTGAAGCATACATTTAGCAGAGCACCACTACACTTCTGGGACATGTCCAAGATGCAATGCTTCGCAACAGGTAGAAACACACCCGTCAACTATAATGGCGATTATTAACCATATAAAATAGTTTGCAGAAGTTCTGTTACAATTACACATCCGGTATAAAGCCAGGGTGACTTTTACTAAAACCATACAACCAGAGCAACCTGTGGAGAGCAGATCTACCAGTAACATTTCTTCAAACAGCAAATGTAAAACATGCAACGCAGCAATAGCAAGGATTAGTTTGTCCTGAAACACCAAATTTTTGTGTTACATTCGTTTGCTATAGCCGTGTGAATGCGATTCTCCATGGTGACTTCTCAATGATTCTCTTCGTTCCCTCCTCTTAGCCACCCTAAGTCTCTAATGGTCGTTGTTCTTTACACTTGGGTGTGATTGACGTCAGCAGGGCTTCTCGCCACTCTCCTCTCACAAAACCTGCATGTGACATTTTTGTAGCACAGCATCTGACTGTCAAGCTTCATTCCCCAGGAAAGCATTTGGCACCGAGTCTGTTGCCGCCTTTCTACCAGAGCCCTCATGAACAGACCTTGACATTTTTCAGAGTCAAGCTACAGTCAGTTATGTTTTGTTTTGGGTCTAGACGTTTCACAGGAGGGATACAGAGACACATCCACACTCTGAAGCTCTAAGGGAACTGAAAGTGAGATGTCTCTGTGAAAGACTTTAAGCATCAGTACACAGAGCTGTTTTAGAGTGAGTGAGAGTATAAAACCTACACCAGCTATAAAACAGGTTTAAAACGGTGGTAAATTAGAAAATAAAAGCTTTATTATTTATTTTTTGTGTGTTTTTCCCTTCTTTTCATTTGTCCCACAGATTCGCTACATCTCACAGACACAAGGTTTACCTGGAGAGCATTTACTGAACGTGGGGACGAAGACAGCACGGTTCTTTTGCAAAGAATCCGATTCACCTTATGCAGCATGGAGGCTGAAGGTGAGGAGGGTTTGCACACCTCAGTGGGAAATTAGCCTTCCTCTCTCAGCACAAACCTCTGCTAATTCTTTGAAAAGTCATGTTTTCTCATTTCTGTTTGCTTCTCAGTGAAATAGATGCTTTCATTTCTTAGGAAAGAAAATCAGGTTCCAGATTAGATAATTAGAAGTAAAATGTAATCAGTATATTTTCATGTATCAGTTTAGAACTAAATGGTGAGAGTCCGCATGATGTTTAACTACAGGAAAAAGTAGAACCATGTTAATTAGACTTAGTAATCCCCCATTACATTTATTATTATCATGATAATTGTCTTTAGATCAGAAATTTAAAAGATGAAATTCTGACATGGAAAAACTAAATATTCTATCAAAATAGTATCTCTGGAGATGGAAAAAGGCTCTGAAAAACAACTCGAACAACAACAGTTTCAGAAAATTCCCATCTTGTTTCCTCTTCTAATCCTTTTCTCCACTTTAGTCAACAGATGAGCACGAAACAGAGACTGGAATGAAATCAAAGGAAGCAAGGAAGTACATCTTCAGCTGTTTGGACGACATAGTGCACGTATGTTTAAATACACTAACTTAACAGGCCACAGTGATCGTGACAGGACAGGTTGGACCTAGGGTTGTCACGGTGTGAAAATTTAACCTCACGGTTATTGTGACCAAAATTACCACGGTTTTCGGTATTATCGCGGTATTTTTTTTAAACGTGCTACATTTTCACACAACTAAATAAACCCTGTATGTCAGGAAAATATTGTCCTCAGTTTGTGTCTAAATTTTGCCTAAAATGTGTTAGTTTGTAATTATGTTGTTTATTTGTTTACATTTTTCCCTTTAGTCTTTAAAATACCAATATTTGCCCATAACTTCTTATTTTTTGTCTGTTTGATGTCATCATTTAAAAATATTAGATCAGATGATACTCAGTACTCAAGTAGCCTTCTAATCAGATACTTTTTTACCCTTACTTGAGTAATAAACCCTATATCAGGAAAATGTTGTCCTCGGTTTGTGTCCTTCCAGTGAGCTTTGCAGATGTGGGAAAATGTCATCAGGCAGTAATCATTGTTAAATTCATAATTTTTCTCGGAGAGAGACCAACTCTTATCTGCCCCTGGGAGTCCCGTAATGCGTAGCGTCATTTCAATTTGGCGGTGTCCGCGACACGGTTTATATGCAGGTAGCGGCGCTGCGGCTGCTTTATATAGCGACTCGTTGCATTCTCCCTCAACCAAAATCCTCGGATCACGCATTTTAGCTAAAACGCTAACGTTAGCTTGCCTTGCGTTGACTGTAGAGTTGTGGGTGATGGTCACACAGATGTGTCATGAGATTTGAAGCGTTGCTGCCTTTCACAGACACTTTTTCTGCATGTGCTGCAAACAGGATAGCCGTCCGTCTTCTATAAACTCCCTCGGCATTCTTCAAATATCCAAAAGATGCCCGTAATTCCGACTTTGTCTTCTCTGAGGGATAATAAATGTCCTGAACGCTGCCGTCTCCTCCTTTGGCCATTATTTCAGCTTTAGCTTCAAGAAAGTTTTGGTTGTAAACAACAAAGTGCGTATGTGCCGCCGGCAACTTCAGCAGATGATACGGTGGCTGGTAAGGGTCACGGCGCCTACACCGCAGCCACGGTAATCCACCGAGATAATATAGTTTTTTTTAAAACAAGACAGTTATTGCCAACTTTTTTACCGGGGTTTACCGCTACACCGGTTACCGTGACAACCCTAGTTGGACCTCAGAACTAAAGAATCTATGTCTTAACTATCTTAAAAACGTGTTTTTAAAATTTTGTTATAAAAACCTGACTACAGGAAAAGCTTTAACCCAAACAAGCCACGACTTCCCCTAAGAAACTAAATATAACGTTGTGAATGATATTTACGGGTTGAATCCTCCATCTAGACATTTAACATTTATTTTTAGATAATTACTTTATTAAAATCCTTTTATTCGAGAAGTTTGCACGACCACATTTATTATTATGCCTTTTTTCTGTATTCTGATGAAGATCATACTTCAACCCATTTTTAACATCCAGGTGAACTTGATGATGAATCTGGAAGGTAGTGACTTGTTAGCAGAAAAGGCCGACCGTCGGGAGTTTGTGGGCCTGCTGAAGAAGATGCTGCTGATTGATGCAGAGGAGAGGATTGCCCCCGTTGAAGCTCTCGTCCACCCGTTTGTGACGATGCAACACCTGCTCGACTTCCCGCACAGCAGCCAGTAAAGTTCCCCTTACCTCTGATTTCCAGACACAGTCGACATCATGGCTGTCCCACGTAACGTGAATGTGCCATGCCACTTTTCTCTCTGCAGTGTGAAGTCTTGTTTCCATATCATGGATGTTTGCTGGACTCGCCCCGGTGCGTTCGAGGCTGCCAACCGAAACAAAGGGCCTTTCGTTAGGCCTGTAAATACCCCTTCTGCCTCAGCCAACCACCCCTTCAGCAAGATCCCAGCGGTCCACCCTCAAGTAAGCTGCTCCACGTGTTTCCACTGACCCCATTCATGTCCATCTAAGTTTCCACTTTCACTTTTAGACCAGGAAATAATTATTTAAACAGATAACCCAAACAGCAAGTGAGTGTATGGTGTCGTTTTGTGGTTTTACATTTAAATGTCCAACCAGTGGAATACCAGGTGTTGCAGGTTATTTGGTTATTTGTTCCTATAAAGAATGTTTCCTTGCTTTTATTGCCTTTCTGTATGCCGACCTGCCCGTCTTGCTGCGTCCAAGCTGCTGTCATGGTAACAAAATCACGTCATGTTTCTGAGGTCATGGCAACGGTACGAATCAGTGTTGTTGCTGAGGAGAACAGAGGAGCATTACCCCCTTTATTTGGCTTTTTTAAAAATCCATTACACAGAACTCAAACAAATAAAAAACAAATATTTAGATGTCTTTAGTTTCAGAACTGACTCCATCAGAACAGATACAGTTATGTTAGGAGTCTGTTCTTCCTGTTTAGAGCTGAAGCCATCAGTTTCACAACAAATCTGATCATTTACCTTTAATCTATGAGATTAACATTTCTACACTAATATATATATATATATATATATATATATATATATATATATATATATATATATATATATTAGTGTAGAAATGTTAATCTATGAGATTAACATTTCTACACTAATATATATATATATATATATATATATATATATATATATATATATATATATATATATATATATATTGTAGAGAAAAACTTCTACTGGAGAATGTTGTAACTATTTTAGTATTACCCATTTAAAACTGCTTTGTGTTCCCTGTCATGTGTGTGGGGGCTGGGCTACATGCAGTAGCAGAACAATATAGCCCTAGTTCTCATTATCCATTAAATGTGATTATGCCCAGGCACGAGAGCAGCGTTAGTGGTGAAGCAGGAGCATGTGCTCCACTCTGGTCTGTTTCAAACTCTACAGCTAACTCCTGATAGAAAAAACGGTTTCCAAGCTAGAAGGATCTCAGAAGACGAGCCTGCACAAACCTGGTCTATAAAGAATTACTTCAATTTGGAAGTCAGTTCATCAGGATTTTCACATATAGGCGTTTTAACTGTTTGCTGCTGCAGCTCAATAGAAATATGTTTGAAGTTTGATCTCTGTCCTTCATTGATTCCGAATTATTTTTGATAAATAAGCAAATGTTTTTCCTAAAGTTAAAGACAGGCTATTGTGTTCAGTTTTGCTGAAAAACAGCAGTTTGAGATTTCGCCCCCTACTGGTTGTAGTGTGCTATAATTTGTCATTCTTAGCAGGACAGTCAGATATGCTGTTTACCTCCTTTTAGGGGTTGGTTCCATCAGCGCCCTCTGTAATGCACCCCGGTATACCACTGCAGGCTGGTAGTGGTCAGTTTGGATGTAGTGAGTCGTTTCAGCAGGCTCTCATTCTGTGTCCCCCAGCAATACAAGGTAGGGCATGTTCTGTATTTCCTGCTTTTACTGGTTTGGTCTTCTTTCTGGGGGGTTACCTAAGGTCATACATGATTCCCTCCATTAATTCTGCAGGTATTCCCACTAACACAGCAAAGCCCGCTGGCTACCCTGTGCGGATGGAGGCCTCTGTACCCCTAGTCACCCAAGCTCCTTCAATTCAGCAAATACAAATCCGACCTGGAGTCATCACGCAGGTAGGGGGGTGGTTGTAGGTGGTAATGCGTTTGTTAAATTTAAAATTAAACTGATGATGAGTTCAAGTTTGATGTTGAAATTATGGAAAGCATCAGCAGATTGTTTTTTGTCTACAGGCCTGGTCGAGCCATGCACAGCAGATCTTGGTGCCCACTTGGCAGCAGGTGACATCTGTGCCCCCACAACCAACCACTCTGGCATCAGACACTGTGACAGGCTCTCAGAGGATAGGTGACTGGGGGTAAGATGCTTTTCCTTTTGCATCTCTTTGATTATATCGTCTGCATTCTGTCATATGAGGAGGTTGTGTAATCTGTCTCTATTCGAGCCGTAGTTGCTGTGCTTCATCGGTAGATGCGCTAGTCTGATTCAGCATCCTCCACCCCACCCACCAATGTTAATGATTCATGAGTCACACGTGTCTTTTTAGTAGCTTCTGGCCTAAATTTTAATGATCTTTTTTTTTATTGCAGGAAAGTGCGTCCCCATGGTAACCATTACAGCTCTATGATTGCACACCCTCAGCCATTCTTAACCAACCAAATGACCATGCCCACCCACCAGCCAGTCAACATCGGCATTGCACATGTGGTGTGGCCGCAGCCAGCTGCAAACAAGAGAGCAAAACCGTGTGTGAACAGGTAACATCACATAGGTTTCATCCAGATGTGTAATAATGTGCAGACATGCACCGGTCTGAGCGTGATTTATTTTATTTATTCCTGCGTAGGGGGAGGAACACCTCCCATAACACAGGCATCCAAAACTTAGCATGCCAGTCCCCAAAGATGGCCGATACAGCAAAGAATGTTGAAGAAATAGAGGAGGAGGCCAGATGTCCAGAGGAAGGGCACTCTGTGGGAGGGAGGCAAGTCGCTGAGGATGAGAATTGCTGTAAAGTGGAGCCAGACTGCGAGGAGCTCTCCGTTTCACAGGAGCAGCGGCAGGCCATGGTGATCTCTGACCTTGCCAGCCCGGCTGTTAGTGTCATCAGCATCAGCAGCGATGAGGAGGAGGATGATGCACAGAGACACTCGATGGGGGAGTGAGTATCAACTAAGAAACAGCTGAGCTGCAACTGTTGGCGACACAAACCTGTGAGGAAATGTGCAGAATTTAAACCGGAATCACGCTGATTTTGTACGTAGGATAGTTTTGCATTCGCCCAAACTGCAAACTTGTCGCAAACGGTCATAGCTTAAAGAAAAACATAATCTTGAAGGGTGTGAAAGTTGGGTGACTGACTTTTTCTTTATCTTTTCCTGCTGCCAGATGTAAAGGTAGTGCAGATTGTGAGGCATGTCAGAGCACCGTCAGTATGGAGAGGGTGTGTTCTCTCAGCAGCCCAGACAGTACGCTCAGCACCAGCTCCTCGGCCCAGTCCAACTCCCCGTGCAAACACCCCAACAGGTAGAGTCGAGGCATTGAATTAAAAAAAATACATCTGTAAAATCTTGAAAACACTCAGATTATTTATTATTTTACACTTTTTTGCTTTTCCTCTTTTGTACATTTCCTAGTGGGAAAGACATTGCTTTCTATCAACATGCTAATATCTTCCTTAATTAGGGACCAAAATCCTTTTCCTCTAAAATCAGCATAAGCAAGGCGTGTTTCCATTGCCGGAGCTTCAGGGTAATTTCTGGGAGGGGAAACTGACCGGGAGATACGATGGCCCGGTCCTCTCAGCTTTTGTGTCTCCATACAAATGCAGCCCTCTCAAGGCATAGACGTCGGCATATCGTGACTGCGTCGGCAGTGAGTGATGTCACTGATCAGCACCAAAAATCATTTGTGGACATTAATAGCTTTAAAAGTTTTATTCTTTTGCAGTGTGCCGTAATTTGATCCATTCAGAGGACCAGAAGAAACATTTTTGAATTTTTTTAACGGGGCTTTTGACGTTTACCCTGAAGCTCCCAGAGTGGAAACACACCTAAAGATGTCTGTTTGCAACTGAATTAAAGTGTGTGTTTCTTCTTGGTTGGCCTCCTTCCTGCAGCATGTCAGACGACGAGCAGGAGAGCAGCTGCGACACGGTGGACAGCTCGCCTGCATCGCGAGCGTCCGGCCACAGCAACAGTCCCTTTACAGAGCGGCGATACATTGCCGACAGCAACCAGAACTGCGAGCCTCGTGTTGCTTGCGTCGCCCCGGAAACCGAGCCCAGCAAGCCAACAGTTCGCACTGTTGTGGTGCCACCGATGCGCGTGCAAAACAATAACAACTGTGGCGTCATCGAAGCGCCTGGTAACACAGGTAATGTAAAAAGTTATGTTCTGTAATTATCAAAGTTAGAAAGATGACGACATAAAAGAAGTTTTGATTCGCTGCATTCGAATCCGCTCAGACAGCTAACTAGCCCCTGATTAGGTCATGTCAGCCTAAAGGCCTAGTCACCACTGCTGCTGTCTGCTCCACAGGGCACGTGGCCTGGGATTATGCTGTGTTAGTAGGCCACAGAGGTTTTCACAGGTGATTATGGGTTTCCTACCCTGATGGATCTGCTGTAATCTCTGGAGTGGCTTCTTGCATGGTGTCAACACTTTTTTTAAAATTCTGAGTCTAGACTGACTCAGCTGGGATCAGCTGCATCCGTGTGGATGTTCACTCCGTAAAGCTGTTGGATGGAATATTTGATGTTGAGTTATGCATGGTATAACAATCTTTGACAACGCTCGTGTGGGATTTGCCCCCCCAACCCCCCCACCTACACACACACACAGAGTTTCCAAACAGTTGGAACTGAAGCCCAACTTAAAAGGGCACAGCTTCCTATTTTTAGTAGTGCCAGGTTTATTTATAGGTGTTGATGTGATCCCACTCAAAACTCTACGATCAGGCTTAGCTACAAGCTTCTCCCAGCTCTCCATAACACACCTATTTATAAACATCTACATGAAAGGACACATCCAGCTACGCTTTAAGATTTGGAGCTGATCCAAGACAGCCAAAATTAGCGATAAGCCTTCAGACCTTCCTCCCGTAGTAGTTTCCAAGTGGGCATCAGGATCTGCTGTGCATTTCCAGTTGTTGGATACCAGCTTGTGCCCAGTCTTGTTTGTGTGTTATTTCTAGTCTGTTACTGATAGTCTGGCTCCAGGTTTTCTGTATTTATTTACATTACCGCCTATCTTTGTCTGCATGTCCTTCCCTTGTTACCTCTTGATGACCGTTATGACCTCTTCCTTCAGTCTTAGAGTCTTCGTGCCAGACCAAAGGGCGAGGCGTTCCTGGGCGACTGCACCACCACTCCACCCCGCTCCTCAACAGGCCCCAGAGAATCACCTCCGTGTTTCAGCCCCAGCAACAGCAACCTATTGGCTTTGGGCAGGTGAGACAGCGTCGCTCTTCTTTTTTCCCAACAGGCTCACCATCCTTATGATAAACATTTCTTCTTGTTAAGGTGATCTAACATGGTTGCCTCTCGCTCAAACAACCATCTGGATGTTTTCTAGTTTTCTCATTTTTTAACCTTTCCACATCAAGTTGTTACATTCAGCAAGTGTTCTGGTTTTGCCGTTGAATCAACAAAAAACGCTGGCCAACTGTAACTGAGTGTAAGAACAGGTGGCTGCGACTTCATTTGATAAATCAGGGTGATAAAGAGCACATCTGAATTGCAGATTTGTCTTTTTTGTGGCAGACCAGAGAGCATGATCCATCCTCACAGGAACAGGATCCATGCAGATGGTGTCAAATCTGGTTAATGCCTGAAGATGTTTTACTGTGGAACTTTTGCTTTTGTGATAGGTTGTTGTAATGATGGACAAAGATGTATTTAAATGTAAAATCTTGGAAAGCCGTGTCTAGGAGCCTCTTTTGTTGGGCCTTCGGAACGTCTAAGTGTAATGTCCTCTGAATGCGTCGTTAAATTTACGCTTCAGGACAGGAAGTCAAATCCAAAAGCAGTGTAAAACGTCTGGCAATTTTCTAAATAAAAGTCACCTGCAAATTTCCAGTTGCTTAACTAGTAAAGAAAAGTTCGTCACCACCTGTGAAACCGCAGTAGTCGAGGTAAGCACAACAGAAAATTAACCACAGACCTTTTTTGATACTTGCAATTTTTCCCGGCCATTTTGAGACCCCGTGGGACCAGGTGAGTGGAACACTTTTGCTGCCATGTTACATCTGAAAAGCTCTCGGTGGGAAGGCAGCTCGTGGGTAAAACACGTCTGTTATGTTACGCGCCGCGCACTCCCAGAGGAAAGGCTGGGTCAGTGATCAGATGTTGTCTTCCTTTCAGGTGCAGCATTTTGGTTCCTGCCACCAGGAATGGAACGGAAACTTTACCAACCGCCGACCGCAAGCCTACATCCCTCCTACCATGCACGGCCACCCTTTTACCCTCTCCCACAGCAGCCCCAACCACACAACAGGCCCCCACCCCCACCTTTCTGGGCACTCCCAGCCTACCTTATTGTCGTACCCTCCATCTGGTCCGCTGGTCCCGACTGCCCCTGTGGCCCACCTCCTGGCCTCCCCTGGGGCCTCCCGTCCTGTCCTCCAGCCCACCTACAGCATCTCACACCCGGCAGGCATTGTGCATCAGGTGGCTGTGGGTATCAACCCGCGGCTGCTGCCCTCCCCCACTTTACACCCGCAGGGCCAATTCAAGCCTCTTTTCCCCCCTCACTCTTACATCGCCTCGCCTGCTTACGGCAGTTTCCCTCTCAGCCCTACCAAAATAAACCAGTACCCCTACATCTGAGTGTGGCTGCTCTGGTACATTTTCTACCACCTGGGGGCTAAAAAATATAAAAAGGACAAAATCTATCTCAAAACCACAAACAACATGGCTTTCAGGTCTGAAAACCAGGGCACAACCACAGAGAACGCAAGCTATTTTTTGAATCATGTAGACTTGGGTGTAAATGAACGAAGCTTTAAAAAAAAGAAAGAAAAACTTCAAATGATGGCGACGATTTGGCAAAAATCAAGAAAGGAATAATGTATGAATGACAGACTGAAAGAATGAATGAGTCATCAGCTCACACCTAATGTGTTTTGCACATTTGATATACCTTTGCATTGGATCTTCTACGAATACTCCTCAAGACAGGTTAATAATAAAGGTGTTGTGGAATCGTTAGAACCCCCCTCCTGCTGGTCCCAGCTATTTTTCTACATTGCCTTCTTATGTGTGCAAGACACTTTGACATTTGTAAAGCCATCTCAGTCTCTAGGTCTAGATCGACAGATGCACACGTCGTCCACAGTGTACATTGTACCGCGTTTGAAGTATTTGTACCTTTTCGGTGTCTTTTTGGTGTTCGCAATGTCAAGTCAAATATCAGATTTAACTAGGGTTGTTCCTCACGCTGCATGTGGTCTTGCATGAGCAAAAATGTAAACGGAAAGATGCATAGACGTTGCTCTTATTGTTCGTGTCACAGGACTCGCTGCATTGTATAACTGTCCTCAGCCATAGTGCCTTACATATTTGAGGTTGTTATTGTTAACTACTTATATATGACAATATACATGAATATTAATGTACTGGACTGCAGCACTTGAAATTCCAATCAGTCGATGCATCCTATGTGTGAGTATGTATATGCACATGTGTATATGTCCATGCATAGCCTGCATGGATGTGATCTATATTATCGCGGACAGCGGTGCTTCTCTTTTTGTTTTTTGGAGTCTGTGCATATTTCTGTCTGTAGTGAGTTTCTCTTCTGTTCTCTAGAACAGCTTGCGTTGCTGTTTGCGAATGCCTGCTGTTTCCTTACAAAAAAACTTTTTCCTCCTTTCAGTTTCCGAATGAACTAGTGTACAAAGTGCAAGTACTGAGTGTTGCTTAATATTTGATAATCACTTTCTATTTAGTGAAACTCTCACTACTAACAGTATTTGTACTGTTTAAAAACTGCAATACAATCTAAATAGTTGTCGATTATATTCGTTTTTGTTTCTTTTTATTTGATTTTTCGTCTTTCCGCTTTCATTTCGAGTGTTTTCACCTTTAATTGTAGATGTTTAGAAGTGTGAAGGGCATGGCTTTGATTAGGTAAGATTTAACAAAAAAATCGCAAATTAATTTACGGTATGGAATCTTCTTAGCCTGAGCAAACCATGCAGTATTTGATATACACACACATATATGGACATATATTATAGAGCTAGACTATTTAGTACAGATGCTTGATACGGTGTGAGTTAATTGTGTGCAATTCCCTCATTTATGCATGTGTGACAAAGTTAACTTTTCCCTTTTTACGTCACACCATTTGTTAAAGGCTGAAGGCTTATCAACTGCTTCTTTTATACATTCCATCAGGGAGGAGATATATATATATATATATATATATATATATATATATATATATATATATATATATATATATATATATATGCTGTGTGTGCATTTTCTTTGTTCATTTAGCAGTTATGTGCGTACTGTTTTTTTCTCATCTTTTGATTTTCAAATGAAGTTGCTTGTGCAGCACCAAAGACTGTAATTCATTTCCCGAGCAAGGTAGCTATACTTGTTTGCGTAGGCCTCGGTCGTACTATAGTCGTAGGATGGGGTTTCATTAAAAACAATAACAAAAAAATGTTATATTTAAAGAAAAAAACAAATAGAAAAAGAAACATTCAATGTTCTGTCTAGCCTTTTGGGCATTTAATGAGTCGTATCATTTCTTTCTTGAATGTATCATAGATAAGCTGCTATATGATAATTGCCACTTCAATAGCTGTGAAATTAGGTGATTTCTCTCTGAGTTGGAACCTAGCGCTTTGTGTTGGTCCCTAATTATCTGAAATAGAAGTGGGTTTGATTTCTGTGTTTGCGTTCTTATTTGGAGTGTCACTGTAACTACTGTATTGCTGACGATGAACATTTTAGTTGCGTTCGTTGTTCCTCGGGGTGCGTGCGTTTCTTTGTGTGTGGTTTTTTTGGCATCAGTATTTTAACCCTTATATTAACTTTTCGGGCTCGTCGCTTCATATAAACGATGTTTATCGGTGTAACTTAATTATTATTAATTTTTGTACGTTTTCATGTTTGTTTCGTACTCATCTGAAGCTGTAGCTTGCAGGTTTGATTTAACTTTCTCGTTGTTCGGATATTGCGTACTATTTTTGTGAGTTATAGGAGCACTGTGAGATGCCATAAAACAAAAAAATCCATCGTATCTCTTCTGTAATGTTTCCACAGGTCACACACAAACGCACTTGCCACTAAGCACTTAAATAATGAAGCTTGGAAATATTTGAATGATAAATTTACCCCCACAATTTTTTTGAACTCTTCCGCTACCTTTGTTCGATGTTTGATGATCAGTTTGATGATTTAAACGGCCTTGTGTCCAGATCGCTCTCCCCTTTATGAGTGTTTCATAGCAAAATGTTTCGTCAGTGCAAAGCAGCGGCCATTGATGTGTGTTCTTTATTGAAATTCAGTGTAAGCAGCACTGCGCATGTGTGCCTTGAGATTCAGAGGAATAAGGAATTCAGTATAGAAGAAGACAAAACAAAGAAGAAACCAACGAATAGTTAATGTAGGCCACGAGGAGCCAAAAAATACTCAAAACAGTCCTTTTATCGGATTCAGTCCAGAGAATTTGGCGCCTGATCGGCTCAGATGACAAAGCCTCGCTGTGAGGACTGGAACACAGTTGGATGTTCAATGATACGACACTCTGAGTCGCTCTGGCTGAACAGCAGATGCAATACTTTACATTGTGCGGTCATTGCACCACAAAGTGTTCTTAGGTGACCTCCATGCTTTACGTTAGCTTGCATGAACACATAACGTCACTTCACCGTGTTGTGTCGCGCATACAAAAGCGGGAGGAACCGGAGCGCAGCTGACATCACCGGAGTCAGTCTGGATGTTTATTTCCTGCTCTGGATGGAAGAGAGATTGTAATTCCTCTGTCAACGACTGCAAAAGCTCACATGTAAACATCGACCCTGTTGTTTTTAAATAGCTTCTGTTTTTATTTATTTTTAATCACTGGTCTCATTAAAATTTCACTTTGGAAAAATGAGTTTATTGTGAAGAGGCATGAGCTCTGCAGGTTAATGCTAGCGATAGTTCACCAATAATGATAAGCATGTGAAATGTAATCCTGTCTTTAGATCCCCTCAAAGGTATTCACCAGCAATGCGCCTGCATCAACTCTCCCAAACTTATAAGAATGGATGCAAGAGGAGAGAAACCTGTCAAATGTTTTGAGTTTTTTAAAGTGATCGGCACGTTGAATCGTGGATACTTTGAGGATTACTGTAAGATTTAGCAGAATAAAATGTTGTTTTGTAATCTACGGTTGTTGAAATCGAGGCTTTGATATCAGAAGAAAATCCTTTAGAGATCTTAATTCAGGGTCTGTAATTGTCTAAATGTGCTTCAGTGTGATGCTTTGATTTAATCAGATAAGGTTTGTTTCTAACCAAAAACTGCTCATTGCGAGTCTTCTGGTCATCTGCCAGTTCCAGAGTTAATTCACGCTGCAAGTTATGGAATCATCTGTTCAGACTGCATCATCGATTACACTTCATCATGGAATCGGAACTGTTACCCTTTTAAAACCTGTAGATTTTTGTGGCTTTGTTTTGTTATGTTTTCGTTTCAGTTGCTTATTTTATTATTATTTTTATTTTGTGCTACACTAGTTTGCCATGTAGCAATTGCACTGTGCAATATTTACAGTATGAGGACTGGGAAAACTAACTCTATGGATGTGATGTCTCTTACACTTTGCGATAGTGTTTCCTCTCTAGTTCTCAGTAATTTAGGTGTGACCAAGCCTTCTCTACTTTGTCACATTAAGCGGGTTTTCCAGGTGACTCTTTTGGTGAGTGTCAAAATAAGACTATGGTGTATTATTGTTAAGATTCACTTTGAATTAAAAAAATCTATTGATGCAACTCCTCCTGACTCCTGTTTTTGCTTCAGGCACACCCGAACACTCCCTCTTCCCTTTGTGACATGAACAGTAAATTTAAAGTTTGGGTGTTTTGGTTACTCCGTGAATAACGTTATTTGATAATTAAGCAGGGATTTAGCAGTTTTTTTGCACAAATTTAGACAAACATTCACATGATCATAGATGTCCAGTGACTACTGGACCGTAACAGCTAGAGGTGCTTCTATTTATGTAATGTTATGAATTTAGTATTAAAGCTATAATCCACAGTATTTTTAAACCGACGCCACCATCTAGTGGCTGACAAATGTATCGTACCATAAACCGGTGTTTCCACTCTCCTATTCAAGCCAAAAGCAACGCCTTTCGTTCATAAATGCACACCTCTAGCCGACAAGCAGCGATTAACACATTGTTTTACAATTATTCTCATGTTGTTATGAATATATATTTATTTATTTATCGTTTCAGACTTGCTTGTCCATGAAAAAGGTTGCCAACTCTACATCGGCCTAGATACGTACTCAAATGCTCGTTTGCTCTGTGATTGACATCTATACGTAAGCCGTTGTGTTAACGCTGTTGGTTAGTGCTGACCAGTGCTCAGTTCAAATAACATGTGGCTCTACAGCATGGGGTATGGGCTTAGCCAAAAAAAAAAAAAAGACGTATTGCCTGCATTACATCACAGCACATGATAAGACTATCACTTTCATGGATTTTGAAAAAAATCTTGCATTAATCCTGAAAGGGGAAAACTCCAAATTGTAGCTTAAATAACACATTTCAAAGTTTAAAATTTACCACAATAGTTGTAATTTTAATCAGTTTTTGTGAATTTTTTTGGTTCCTTATTGAGCAAACACCAGATCGTCAACCTACCTTGACCATGCTTTAGAATTAGGTTAAGGCTCAATAGCATTTGCCTTATCTAACTATAAAAACTTTCCATCGGGGTTTTATTTATTTTTTATTTGTGTGGTTTATTTAAACTCTTCAGTCTTGCAGCAAAATCTCTAAACTGATGTCCTAGAATGATCCCCAAACTGTTCATCTTGACCCACAAATTACAGACAACAAAACGTCATTTTAAAACTGCTTTGACCCATGTTACACTACTTATAATCCTTTATGACCTTTTGCATCAATAATGGTGATCATCAGGTACCCCCCCCCCCCCCCCCCCCCCCCCCAGCTTGGTGTTATGCGACCAGCGGTGGGGTCTTGACCTCAAATTTGGCCCTGTAACAATTTCATTAAGATCAGTTCCATCAAATATGGGACAAATCCTGCAGGATTATGTGATCTAAAAGGTTTGGAGTTACTGGTTAGATGGCAACTTTTCATTTTTTAGATTGCGTAATAAAACACTTCACTGAATTATTTTTTGTCTTCTAATTTTACAATAATTTGAATATGAAGTCATTTTAGAACCATCAAAGCCAGCCGCAGTTTGTGAGTGTAGGGTTGACATCTTGTGGCCGAAACCAGGAACCACAGCCAATAAAACTAACATGGCCATGTGTGGTGATGGTTCCTTTTGCCGCCTCACGTTCGATTTCTATCATTTGTCTGTGTTGTTAAAATCCAGTCATTAAAATAAAATGAAATAATGAATAAAGGTATATTGATTTGCTGGTGAAGGTTCTCAGTCATCCAGGTCAGCCAAAAGGGTTCAAATGAAGGCAACTGGACTTCTTTGGTTTCTTGAGGACGTTTTGCTTCTCATCCGAGGAGCTTTGCCAGTTCTGACTGGAATATGGGAGAGTCGAGTTTATAAACTAGCTGTCTATTGCTATTTCCATCCATACATCCATTTTCTGAACCCGCGCTTGTCCATGTGAGGTCGCGGGGGGGCTGGTGCCTATCTCCAGCGGCCAATGGGCAATATGGCGGGGTACACCCTGGACTGAGAGCCAGTCCATCGCAGGGCAACACAGAGACACACAGGACAAACAATCACACACACACACACACACACACACACACACATACACACACACACACACACACACACACACACACACACACCTAAAGGACAGTTTAGACAGACCAATCAACCTAACAGTCATGTTTTTGGACCGTGGGAGGAAGCCGGAGTACCCGGAGAGAACCCACACATGCACAGGGAGAACATGCAAACTCCATGCAGAAAGAGCCCAGGCCGGGAATCGAACCCAGCACCTTCTCGCTGCAAGGCAACAGCTCTAACCACTGCGCAGCTCTAATGCTATTTACCGGTAATAACATAATCTCGACTCTCCCATATTCCAGTCAGAACTGACAAAGCTCCTCGGATGAGAAGCGAAACGTCTTCATGAAACCAAAGAAGTCCATTTGCCTTCATTTGAAAGGTATATTGAAAGGCACCTGCTGCATATGAAGCGCTGCTTGCCCTACAACCAGCAGGGGGCACCCTCCACAGTATTCAGAGTTTCTCGAGCCAATTAACACTGATTCTGTTTTTTTTTCTTTTTGCGCACTTTGACCAGGAGACTGGCTGACTTAAACATCCTGCTCCCATGGTGCTACTGCTGCTGAATGCTCACATTTCTGACTGAATCTCACCTGAATGCACCTCGGCGTCCAGCATCCATCCATCCGCAGCAGTTGGAATATCAAACCTCCGGTGGGCGCAACGCTGCGCCACCCGCTGTGGACAGTGCGCAGCGGAGCGATAGGGCGGATTTAGTTCCCCTTCAACACCGCGTCCACCCCCACCCTTCTCTCCACATCTCATCCATTCAACCCAGCTCTCAGCTCTCTCTCTCTCTCTCTCTCTCTCTCTCTCTCTCTCTCTCTCTCTCTCTCTCTCTCTCTCTCTCTCTCTCTCTCTCTCTCTCTCTCTCTCTCTCTCTCTCTCTCCGTCTCGCTCTCTGGACACACGACGAGCTCGGCCGTGTTTCCCCGTTCACGCACGTGGATTGGTCCGATGTATAATTTAAGAGCGAAACTTCAGCAACTTTTCCGCTGGATATGGCTCCCGGTGTGAGGAGTGATGGGCGGGCAGGTCACCCTGGAGCGGCGGCGGCGGATGGACGCCGGTCGCACAAGGCGGACGCCAGGGGGAGGTGTGTAAGGAGCAGACTGCGCGCCGGAACAGCGGCGGGGATGCTGGCGAACCGTCTGCTGTCTGTGGCACTGCTTCCACTTCTGGTCCGGTGCGCCGTGGCCGCAGAGGGTAAGCACTCCTCCGAGCTATGAGCCCCCGACGTGCTGATTTGTTGCAGCAACCTTTCAACTGCACTGCGTGTGGCTTTTGCCGTGAAAAGCAGAGAGGGAGAGAAAATATGTGGAAATGGATCTTTTGTTTTACGCAGGCAGCGTTTTGTAATTTACTGCAGGGTGCATGATTCATGCTTTGTGCGGATTGGAGCTGCGGTGGGGTGAAATCAAAGGGGAAAATAAACGTATACATATCTGTTATTCATGCACTTATGAGGTATTTAGCGCACTGATGTGCACCGCCTGTTTAAAGGCTAAACATGGACGGAGTCACTGACCAGACTGACATGATTTTCCCCCAAAAACGTGTGATTATCTTCTTCTTATGTCTCTTTCAAATGCTATTTGAACCAATGTGTCCCTGACCTGATTGCACCACCGAGCCTGAGTAAGCAACAAGGACCATTTCACCTCCTCCTCAGTCAGTTTGCATGTCCACAACAGAAGATTTAAGGCGGTAATATGGTCTGTGAGGAGCTGCAGAGAGTTATTCTGGGAATGCAGTGCATCTACAGGGCAGTCTGTGCTTCAGAGCATCTGGGACAGCACTAATGACACACATACTGTGGTCCACTGTGGGGCTGTTTGGGAGAGCTGCTGAGGTAAACCTGGCCCATTTTGCTGCCCTTCAACCAACATATTCAGGAAGTGCTTGCCTGTGTGAGAGACAACTCATCTCTGCATGTGCACAGATTTGCTGCACCTCCCCTTCTTTCTTTTATGTTTGAGCCACAGATGGCCCCGAAACGGTCTAGCCACAGCTGAAAAAGAAACCGAAACAAGAGGCTTTTATTTTTGCAGGTGCTAACAAACAATGGCTCACGCGCGCCCTTTGCTGGTCTGCAAACTGATGTCGCGGCTATTTTCACCTCTGCTGATGCACTGCTACAGTTGCTGAGTCTCCTCCTTCTTCCTCCTCTTCCTCACACTGAGCACATCCATTCTTAAACACAAGTGCAGCAGGCCCACCTGAGCTATAATCGTACATTTTTGGAGACAGAAGCACACAAGTACATTTAATGTTGGGTGCAGGACGTAGAGTCAGATCTGAAGCTGAATCACCAGAAACACAGACAGCAGGAATGTAAGGCCTTTGCACCACTCCAATAGTCTCACTCAAATGAACTCTCTGAAATTTAGCCAGCCAATCTAAAATGTTCTTATTTTTGATTCCTTATGGATTTTTCATCCATCCGTCTGTCCGCTATCTGTTGCACAACCAAAGTCTCCCCAGTGGAAGCACCTCCTGTGGGATCTCAGATTTGAGAGGGAATATAATCTCTACACTAGTTCTGGGTCTTCGCCTGTAGTCTGTTTCCAGTGGGTTGATCCTCCAGAGGGAAAGAACCAGATGGCATCCTAATCAGATGCCTGAGCCACCTCACCTCCTCCCCTGGACTCCTGTTGATGTGGAGGAGCAGTGGCTCCTCTGAGGAAAGAACTCCTCACCTAGTTAAGGCCCATCCTTCTTGGACTGAGGGTCAGGATGTAGGCCAGAGGGACAGAACTCAGGCTAACCGCGCCTTTCTACAGGATGCGTAAGTGCCAGGTAACATGCATGAAACGTAGTATGCTGCCATTAGAGGGTATAGGTGCATTTCCTCCTGCCGTGAAGCGTTACATTTTAGAAGTGTCCCAGAAGCGTAGGGGCATATTGAGTCTATTTTTTATGTGCTATGCGTCCAGAATGTGCCAGACTCCACAGTTAAGATCAGGCCAGACAGGAAGTCAAACACAAAGCAGTGTAAAACATCTGGAAACTTTCAAAATAAAAATCACAGGCAAATTTCTAGTTGCTTAACTGTTAGAAAAAAGTACGTAATTTCCTGTGAAACTGTCATGACTCCCAATCCTTCACCCTCCTCAGCCTTCATGCATCACACCTGGTCTCATCATCAAACCCCAGCCAAGCCCTGTTTCCTTGACTACCACTAGCTTCATCCACTTCACCTGCTTCTGACTCCTCAGCTCATCACTCACACCTGTTTCCCCTGCTACAAAAGAACCAGCCATCCAGTCATTCGGTGCCAGATTATTGAACTTTATTGCTAGTAAATCTTCCAGTAGGGCTGCAACAAACGATTATTTGGATAATCGATTAATCGGATGGGGTCTCGACACGATTAATCGATTAATCGGATTACATGGGGAAATTTTTAAAACTGCTAGGGAAACGTTATTTCTCTCCTTCCTTCACTTTATTTAACACAACATTATTAGAAAACAGTTCAATAGCAGAAAAACAACATGCCATCACCTAAATTGTCTTATAAGGTGTATAGACAGAGACCCTAAGCTACATCTATCTGTGACCTAAAATGCTTGGTCCAAGTTAAACAGCTTAAGGGCAATTCTCATGTGTTTTGTTTGATCTCATCTGTTGACATTTATTTTAAATGTAATTAAACATAGGCTGTGAATTAATCAAAATTGATCACTATTTCCAAAAATGACTGAAAAAATACCAAATAAAGCAAAAGTAAATGAATGCCATCCTCCTTGCGATGATGCCCTGGGCAACTGCCATAAAGTCACATCAAGAAATGCTGCTGATCATTCCAATGATCCCAAATAGACTCACATTAGGCCACATGAAAGCAACTGAACCCAAAAATATATTAACCAGTATATAACTGCACTCTCACACAACATGCCTGCAGCAACAGTTAGGACTCCTCCCTCCCTTTTAAAAGCGTTTTTGCTTCTGAGGACATTGTGGTTGTAAAACCACATGCTAGTAGTCTGGCCCCGGTGTGATCAACGAGTTTCTGCGGGAATGTGACGGCGGAACCAGGGCCAGATTAACACTTTGTTGTACCCTGGGCAACAATATTCAAGGGCTCCATCATCACAACCCAAGGATCACCATAATGTGGTCACATACAGAATATTTTACTGTAATATGCAGTAAATATACTCAATACTTGAATGCCTGACAACACGTAACCTGCCCAGAGTAACCTTTGACCCACCTCGTGTGGACTGACCAATGAGGAGAGGGTCTTAACTTGAGGCCCTCTCTTCATTGGTCAGTCTGCATGAGACTGACTCTCAACTGACGTTCAGTCATAGGCAGCGAAGCGTCTCTGTGCAGCGCAAAAGCCCGGGTGGACAGTTTGTTTAACATAGGGTGATCATATTTCCATTTCCAAACAAGAGGACAGGGGATCTGTGCCTATGACGTCACACTATGGCAACGCCACACAAACCATGTTGGGACCCATTTTTTGTAAGAACTAAAATAATATCAGATTCTGCCAATTAAAGGGCTCTAAAACAATTCATATGTAAATATTTTGCATATTTAATGCAAAATCTAATTTTTCTGCTTTAGTGCTGCAACAAGGTTTTATTAATAATAAATTATTATACCTTTTGTTTTACTACAGCATCGGTAAGCTTCCTGTGCACAGGTTATTAAGGATGCTTGTTTCAGCTGTGAGATTAGACGATAGGATCAATGAAAAAATAAGTTGTCACACACTCCATGGAAACTTTCAGAGAATCCACAAATAGTGGCTTTCACATGGTTTTGTTACTTTTAAAAAGTTTAGAAAAGTAGCAGATGAGACAGCATGTCTGATAATTAAGTTTTTCATCTGATAATATTAGAACATGTCAGTAATGTCTGAGGGGCTTTTATAAACACCGTATAACTAACACTACTGGAGAGGGTATGAATTACACAGAGGCTTCTGGGGAGCCCAGTTATGGGGGGGGGGGGGGGCATTTTGCTTTGGCCCCCAAAATGTCTTGAAACGGCCCTGGGTGTGTGACTGAGTTTTGAAGGTGATCTGAATTGTATCAGATGTATAAATATAACATGTGTATAACTTATTGTTTTTTACTGGTAAAAACGTGTAGTGGAGATAAATCTACCTACATTTTACTTTTCAACACTTTGTTTTGTTTTCTTGTTTTTATTTAACTATTTTCCTGTCCTGTCTGTCTCTCATCTTCCTGCATCTCCTCTTAATTCTCCAGAAAATCTGTTGCCTGGATTCTTACCTTTTCACCTCATCAGTTACTTTTGAGCAGATCAAAGGGATCTCCTGACCACACAGCGGAGAGCGCGTTTTCGATGCTGCGTGAGGTGACATCACCACAGCACAGGTGATGAGCTCCGCAGTAGCGCGCTTCAGGCACAAATAAGACAAAATAGAGAACATGTGCGGACATGAACGATCGTGTGCTAATTATAGTTTTTTGGTTGAACCACTTTGAGAATGGACCGTGTGCTGGAAGCAGCTGCCTGGATCGCTGCGCAACAACGCGGAACCGGTTCGCAGCAGCGCAAGTCTGCCGGCTCTCCCTCGCGCTGATCTGCTGGTACCGGCTCTCCCTTGCACTGATCTGCCGGCTCTCCCTCGCGCTGATCTGCCGGTACCGGCTCTCCCTCGCGCTGATCTGCGGCTCTCCCTCGCGCTGATCGACTCTCCCTCGCGCTGATCTGACTTGCTCTGGTCTGCGCGCAATGGCGGTCGGGAAGGGGGGGCGCTTTTGGAAGAGTTGTGCGACACAACGAATCGATGACGCAATTCGTTGCCAACGCTTTTAGTAATCGATTTTCATCGAATTTATCGATTCGTTGTTGCAGCCCTATCTTCCAGCCATTCACCCTGCCTGATCTCAGCCTCCGGACCTCGTTTTTCTCCTGACCCCTGCCTCGAACTCTGCCTGCCTCCACGACCTTCGCCTGTCCTCAACCTCGCCCCTTTCCTGTTCCCCGCATCTGCATGTCCGATCTGGTTTTGACCCTCGCCTCCTCTCCGACTCTGTCTCCAGCCTCGCCCAACTCTGGTAACTCTGCTTCAAATAAAGACTTTTTTATATATTTTTACTGTGTTTGGCGTCTTCACAGGTCTTCCTAGTTCAGCTCTTGACAGAAACTGCCATAGCCAACGTAATCAGAACAGAAATGAAACCACAGACCTGTCTGGATTTATGCTGTCATCT